TTATAGAGGGAAATTGTAATTGAAAAGGTTCAACATATGTTTTAATGTATAAAAAGGTGTATATTAAGTGGAAAAACAGTACAGAGGTTTTGTATGTGTCTAAACAAAAAGGTGGTTGAAGTCACCTGCCTCATTTGGCAGGTGGCAAGGTGGAAAAAAAAACGACGCGACTCTCATAGTTTTCCGGAAACGCTGTAACTGCCAATGCAATGCTGTGCATTAAGCGCATCCACCTCTGATATCAAGAACCGTCTTGTCCAAAAGTCTTGGTATTCTTTTGCTCCAACGGCCATCTCATGGCCGATATAAATACATAATCAACCAAGCGTCCACGTCTGCAAACTTCACGTTCATGATTGTCATGATTGCCATGCCTAGGATGTACCTCACTGCTACTACGTTGCTTCTCTTGTCGCAGACGACGTCAGCTGCTCACAAGATAGGGGATTTTGAGAGTCCCTCATGGAGTATTGTAAGAGAACTATTCTACGAAAATGGTATTGAGCTAATCTCCATATTTCGTCCAGGGTGATCTCGTCTTCGATGGCCTATACATCCTCATTTATCTGGCTTGCACAATCTTTTGTATCACAGTCGCAAAGAACCTTCCCAACCACCGAGCATCATTCATCACACTTCTTGGTGCATTGAGCCTAGCGATCGCCCACCTTTCACTATTGATTGCGTTCCGTGTGATCTATGACGGAAGCCCCTCCATTATTGGCGAGAGTTATTACATGCTACAAACTGTAGTTCTATTCTTCAGATTTTGGTCGTATGACGTCTTGTACGTTGCCCTTGGTCTCGTCCTTCTTGACAGACGCAAAAGCGCTCTTGGTGCGCCGTTCGACAAACAGGACAAGATTGCTTTTGGGGTATTGTTTGGAGCGATTACAGTTTTCGCAGTGTTCTCGACGACCGTACCAGCTGTTTATGCGGCCGATCTGAAGGGTAGGGTGAGTTTATTTGATGAGCTGGTGGCGCCTCTCGGGGTGTTCTCGGTGACGTGGGCCGCTGCCGCCGTAGCTGTTGGGTATGTAGCCAGTTACGTGAACAAACGTTTAAACAGAGCAGGTATTCGCGACAAGGTGCGTATTGTTATTTATCCGTAGAGATTTCAACCTCATGCCACTGCCTCACTTATTGCTCTTCTCGAATCCAGATATCCAGGCTCATGCTGGTTGTGATTACTCCATTCAGTGCACTCCTGTGCACTGTGGGTGTCATTATGACATGGCTTCCCACCCTTGTGATGGCGACCCTCTTTGTTGACGGGTTTTTCTGCGCAATAACGATTACATTACTGATTTGGGGTATGAAACCCGAGTATTGGTACTACAAAAGTGAGTAAAATACTGAAATCAAGGTGGATATTCAATTTTGGTGGATTCTTTGTTCTACGTAATTGACATTACCGCCCTCACAGCTTCCACAGTAGGCGAATAGGAAGGACGTGGAGCTAATGCTGCTTACACTGAGATGGAAGGATCCATTTGTAGCTCTTGCTGAGTGCTGAAGTGTATCTTTTGCATTCGCACACATTCGTACAACAATCGTTGTTTAGCTCATGATACAGGTTTGGCACAATTGGGTTGATAACAAAGTCAAGCAGCATGTTGGAGAATAGTAGTTGTTCTATAGCTGTCTGCGATTCACAGCTTCTAGTGACCTCGGTTCATTAGGTGGTGGTGGAACGTTAGAATTCCAAGTGAACCAGAAGATAGCAATGATGATGACTGTGAAATAATTGAAGGCTAGGAAGTGCCAAACATGATTTGTGAGCAATACGAGAAAGTATGGCTAGCTGAAGTATCTTGCACCTGAAAGCTATTGACCAATGTACTTCCATCAAACTTTGTGTTGCTTGTTGTATGTACACTGTCTCAGTTGTGTCCATGTTGCATAAACACATCCATGCCAGCATTGCCTTCTGAAAGATTTAGTTCTGAAACTTCCCTTGTCTCTACAACATTTTCTGTTCCTGTTCATATAGTACCTTATAAGGAGTAAGATTGCCAATAGACAAGGTACAAATTGGACAATGAAACACACAGTGAATAATAACTATTTCTATTCAGACTCTAGATGGAGCACAATATACCTGCCTAGATTTTCAAATTATTTCATTATATGTAAGTTACAGGATAGAATAGTAATTATAAATGAATCTTACCAGATGTCTAAAATATCATCAAGTATGTCTGTATCTTATGCCAAGCCACCTCTGCTTAGATTCTGAAATTTGTTAAGTTATACAAGAATCTGAAATGCTCACATACAACTTCAACAATATAGATAACTTGAGTTTCTAATACTGACTTGTAGGGCATTGTAACAGTAGAGCTGTAAAAAGGGTTGGTTACTAATGCTGGGTGGATTTAGTTTAGGATAATGAGTTGGATTTGATTGACATCTGTATTATACAAGGTATCATCACAAAAATGAACACAAAAATGTATTGGAATTTACTGCTAAAACATATTTTTTTACATATTGTGGATTCTTATATTTGCTTATAAAGTCTACATGTAAATATATTGCCTTGTCAGACTCTGTACATTTTAGTAATGATAGAACAGGAGTTACTAAAACCCAGACAATGACTCATATCATATACAAGCTGAGACACAATGTATAAATGTACTAGAGGTTGACTACTATATTACTAGTAGACAAACAAAAGTGAGCCAGTATATGTAATAAATCAGACAATTAAGTTACACTTTTACACAGTAGAAGTAGGGATAATTTAGCTGTAAAAGATTAACAGTATAGTATAGTATATTTCCTAGTATAGGTCCCTAAATAGGAGCACTAGAGTTACTAGTTATAGTACACTATAAGGTAAATGTTACAGTTCTCTACTCTCATACTTTCAGTTCTGAGGGTTCTGCACCCTTCTGTACCAGAACTCAGGACTTCTGTCCCTTGAGAGTGCTATCTATGGACTATATGTGTACTGACTCTTACTACTACCCTTTCTTACTTTATCATTCCATTCC